TCCTGTCTCTCAAGGTCTTTTCCACAGACCATTACAATATTTCTGCCCCCTCCTCTTTACTGGCAAAGACACTAGGGAGGGTCCCTTCTGATATGCTTCCCACACCCCGATTTCTTCTAAGGATTCAACTGCCTCTTTGTGCAAAACAAGCAATAGAGGTGCAAACCGGGGATATTCTGAATTTTGCCTCCTTGGGGGAAAGGGGGAGGTTTTTCTGTTAAGGAGAGAAACCAAGATTCTAGTCCTCAAGATTGCCATCATGCAAGAAACCCCTCCCCCACTGGATAATGAGTTTTTAAGAGCTGCGCTGGGTGCCAGAAATATTTCCTCGCCTCACCGACACAACTGCACGACACTGCGTGCGACGAAAGAGGATTTTTAAAATATGCAAATTGGGTTATTTACATTTTTCTTCTTTTCCCCCCATCTGCCTCGTTTAATCAGCGTGCAAAGTTAGAGGTTACGGAATTTAACTGGGCCCGGCACGGGGGTTATTTATTTATTGTAATTCGGCGAAGATTTCGCGATGGGATTTTAAAATAAGTAACCCTCCGACCGGTTTGTCTGTAAACCAGGTTGCACCCCTCAAAATTTAAAGTTTGGGGAGGAGGGGGATTTGGCTCCAAATATTATGGCGCCCCAAACAAAGGGAAAAGAGCCCCTTGCCCAGGAAAATGGGCGGTGTAGTCCGAGGCATTGAAAGATTAAAGACCGTCAAAGGAAAGAAAGAATTTGGCGATCTATTTCTGATTCCTGAAACAAAAAAAACCACACCTATTGGGTACAGTGGATTCATTTAACGATGTGGGTTTCACTTAACAACCACTGCAACGAAGGTTGCAAAATCAGGGCAGGTCACATGGTGACCCACTTATAATTGACTTATGGTTCTAATTCCAGATTACCTCCATCGTGAATGCTCACCTCTCTTTAAGGATGCTTAGAAGGAGAGGTGTGTAACCCCAATTTATTTTACGACACAACAAAAGTCCCAAAACAGTGTTGCAAAGTCACAATTATTGTAGAGGGGTTGAACCATACATTCCCTGAGTTCAAATCACTCCGGAGTAGGATTCCGGTTGTCTTCAGACTCACATTAGATATATTACGAGCTATCTTGAGGTGGTCTCCAGTTGCAAGGGTGGGACGCGGTGGCTCAGTGGCTAAGACGCTGAGCTGTCGATCAGAAAGATTGGGCAGTTCGGCAGTTCGAATCCCTAGCGCTGCGTAATGAAGTGAGCTAAGGTTCGTGTGGATAAATATTCCACTGAAACACTGTTTGCCAAGCCTTGCTGACTGTGAATGAAAGGAATTCACAGTCGTGTAAATAATGAAAAGGGATTTTGCCGGGACCAAGACTCTGCTTTGTGCTTTTTAAGGAAACTTGGGTCAAAACAGTTCTCCCCCCCCCCTACCCCAATCAAACATGGTCTGAAAGAATTCTCACATATGTTTGGGCTCATCAAACCAGGGCTAGAAATCTTAATGATCTCCAGGACTGCTAATCTAAGCCCGAGATATGCAAAGCTGCATGTTTGATTCTTGAATCTTAAGTTTTGTTTTGTTTTTTCCTTGCGAGCTGCCAAGAGTCGGGCAGCCTACGAACATAATAAATAAAAAAAGAAAATAATAAAGAGAAAAGAGGAGCCAAGAGAATAACGACAAGACGCACACAGTAGTTGAATCTGGGCTCCGATGATGAACGACTCGGAAATAAATCCCAACCGTCTCACATCTGCTCACCACACAAATTCACAGACCATAAACCCGGAGCGCAAATGCGTACAAATGAATGTCCCCATTGGGAATGGTCTGGCTCAGGAATTCTGGGAGTTGAAGTCCACAAGTCCTAAAGGGGTGGGGGGGGGGCGTTGTTCCCCGTCTCTCAACTACACTTCCCAAGCTGTCCTTATCATAAAAATCCGCAAAACGTCAATTGAAAGGAACCACATTGGTTCCCGATTCTATCTGTAGGGTTGCCAGCCATCTCCTGTCTCGCCTGCAGGATGCCAGTTTTCCATATATTCCCCATCTAGCCAGGGGTAGGATTCAGCCAGTTCGGCCGAACCGGGTGCTAATTTTACATCTGATTTGCCGAACCGGTAGTTGCAAGGACTGGCTGGCCACCCCCGACCCGACTCTACCAGGAATCTCCACGTGCCCCGTTTTGGATGCCAGATAAATGCAGGGCTTGCGCAGAGGATCTAGGACGGCGAAAAACGGGCCTCGTGGAAGTCCAGAAACTGACCCGTTTCTGGCCTCCAGAGGCGGGAGAGGCCGTTTTCGCCCTCCACGAGGAAAGCCTCCGGAGCCTGGAGAGCAAGGGTGGATTCCTGCCGGCATTAACTATTGGTGCTCGAAAAATTTTGCATGCTCAGCGTGCACGGGCATTTATTTGCACTTAAAAAGATCTTAACAATTTAAAAAAAAAGAGGGAGGAAATTACTTTTTTTTTCCAATGAAGATTGTGTGCAGAACAGAAAATAAAGATGGTGGCGCCCAGGATAGAACAGTCACCGGGTTCGCCCGAGTTACTACCTCTTCAGCCGAACCTGTAGAAACCTACCTCTGCTAGGAAGGGCGAAAAAGCCCACCACCGCACCCTGCGGCGGTGCAGGAGGCCAAGTAGGCTACGCCCACCACAGCCACGCCAGTGGTGAGATTCAGCCAGTTCGCACCTATTCGGGAGAACCGGTTGGTAACTTTCTAAGCAGTTCAGAGAACCGGTTGTTGGAAGAAATCTCANTGGACTAGAAGACCTCCAAGGTCCCTTCCAACTATTCTATTCTATTCCATTCCATCCTATTCTACCATATTCTATTCTATTCTATTCTTTCAAAGTTTTAAATGCCTTCTCAACCACCCGAGCCAACTGCTCCCTCGTCATTCCTTCCTGGGAAAACATAAAAATGTTTTTTTCAAAACAACAACGGGACCATCGTATCCTATGGAAGTCAATCCTGAGCATTTCTGGATTTATCTCTGGGTCTCGGCCTGGCCCGTTGGGTTGCCCAGCTGTGCCGGGAAGCTTCTGGGCCTCGCCGTTCGGCTGAAGGGTACCTTCGGTTCTCTGCCACCCGTCCCATTTCTCCAGTGAGCAGGGGCGGGCGTGGGGGAGAAAGAGCCCGACCTTTCCCCGTCTCCCCCCCCCCGTTAATTCTCCCCCTAATTCTGCGGCCAGACAAGCCGTGCTCCGTGAAAGCGAGGAAAAGGTCAGAGCGCGGCAGAAGGTGCAAATGAGGGGAGGGGGAGGGAGGAGGGAGGGAGGGAAGGGATTCGGGTGAGCCCTCCGCACACCGCCACCGGCTTTTGATTAATGAAATTACACAACCCGCCAAGCCCTCGTTCCGCACCGCTGCCTGTCAAAACTCCCCCGGAGGCTGTTCAGCTTCTCCGGCACGGCAGACGCTCAAAACACACACACACACACACACACACAGCCAAATCCAAGAGCGAATTTTAACAGCTCTCCCACCTATGCAATTCTTTCTCTCCCTCCCTCCTCTCTCTCTCTCTCTCTGCCCCTCTCTCTCTCTGTGTGTGTGTCTCTCTCTCTCTCTTTCTTTCTCACGCACACACACACATACAGAGCAGAGCCCTTCCGTGTCCCTGCGCGCCACTTACCTGCTGCTCCCAAGCCAACCTCGAGGCTGCTTCTTTTGAACTCGCAACGGCTCTGCGTCTCGGGCATGCCGAGCTGCCGGCTCTGGTGAAGGTTGGAGAGGAAAGAGGTGAGATCACCGTTTTGGCTGTGAAGAGAGAGGAGGGGAAAAAAAGAAAAAGGGCTCACATCAGCAGCTCACGCTTCTCCCGGAGTGTGTGGGGGGTGCATCTGTCTGTCTGTCTGTCTGGTTCTCTCCCCACCCCCCCGCCCCACACCCGTAACCTTCTCTAGGGCTGCACCCCTCCCAGGATTAACTAAGTCCTGTAATCTTGCAAGTTTTCCCTTCCCTGCTCTTTTTTTCCCTTTGTGCACCGAAGGGCCTGTTTTTAATTTCGACGCGCACACACAACCCGAATCGTGCGTTTCAAAGCGAGCAGGGGTTTTCGCTTCTCGCCTGCCATGTGGGGGTTGGAAGCGGTTTTGGGTTTTTTTCCCCGGCCAATTTTTTAGGAAATTGGGAATTGTGCGAAGGCTTTTTTTTTTCTTTATTTCTTTTCTTCCAGCCCTTTCAAGGAAAATCCACTTGCTGCAAAGAAGGGATCAGTTTAGAGACGGACGAGGCATTGTGGACGGGGGACGGGGAATCTGGGGAATATAAGTGGAGAGGGAGGGGGGCTGCTCCAAAGATTAAATCAATCACCCGATTCTCCAGAGAGAAACCGACCGAAAAAGGAGGAGGAAAAAAGACATTTCCGAATTGATTCCCATCCAGCATTCCACATCGTTCCCACCAGAAACATCTGCCACGCTGTTTGAGGATGATGGGAACCGTAGTAGTCCAATTGTTCCACTCCTTTTGGACTTCACAGAATAATTCACAGGGAGGGGGGGGAACTGACTCACTTGGAGACATAGAGGGGGAGAAACGGCTGCAGGCCTTATTTATTTATTTGTTCAACTGGTTTGCCATCCAACTACCAAAGACTCAAGGGCAGTTCACAGGTCTACATCTTGGCCAAAATTAGGCGGGGGGGTGGGGGTTAAGTATTATATATATATAGATAGATGATAGATAGATAGATAGATAGATAGATAGATAGATAGATAGAT